TCGGCTGGAGCTCCATGGTTCTTACGGCGAAGATGGGCGCCGGGGCGGTGGCCCCGGATTTTTTCGGCGACCACGACTACCGTTGTGGCCGCGAGGGCGGCACGGCATCTGGTTCGGGGGGCTCGATGCGGCTCAGCTACTCATCTCCGCATGGTGCGGGTGGTGGTGTTGGTGCCCGCTTAGATCTCCGACATGCTGTTGGGAGCCGGCGCCTGGCGCGGTCCTTTGGTTCTTTTTGCTCTAATATGGTGTTCTGCCAGTTGCCGACCCTCATGGATCTGGCCATTGACGATTTCTGAATGCTCCGCTGGAGATCTTCTTTGGGTGCTTGACGCGTGTAGATTTCTGGATCAAATGGGATTCGGTCGTGTGCGCCTCTATTTCAGGCCGAGTGGCTTCAGGAGGGTGTGACGCGAAGCTTTGTTGTCTGTTGATAGTATGGGACACGTCAGTATTTCAATTTCCATGGTGAAGACAGTGACAGAGAACGTCATGGTGGCTGAGGTCTGAGGTCTTGTCATAGCGGATCGAGTCCTCGCGGCGATGAGAACTTTGCTTGGTGATTCATGACTCGTGGCAGTGGCATTGGAAAGTGGGGGCGGCAACACAAGCGGAATACAGAGTCTTAACTTTCAGGATGAAAAGCCCAAGGTCTGGCCTTAATTGATTGTGCTTGGCAGTGACCTTGTTGAAGGCATTGTTTCAAAAACACGGATCTTCTTCAGGGTGAAAACCTAAAATTTAGGATCGGGCGATGACGGTGCTTCTACACTGTTTCCTTTTTGGAGGCGTCGCTTTTGAAGAATTAGGACTTCGGGTGTTGTCTAGGTGGTGGTTCGTGCTGCAACTAGAGGGATTGATCACTGTTGCGGGATCTTTTTTTCTTCTTCTTCTTATTGTTTTTGGCTGTGTGCATCCGTAATCTCTTTACAATATTGCGTTGTTGCAGTGGCCGGGTGTAATTGATATCTCCGCGATATTAATATATTCTCTTTGTCGAAAAATGTGTTGCCCGCACATAGAGTTAAGATTCACCTTATTTGATTTAGTATAACTAGTACAAATGCTCGTGCGTTGCAACGGGCAGAAAAAATCGTAAAGCTTGCTCTGTGTGCCATTACACGACATTTCATATATGTCGTTCTGATTAACATCGGTAATAAGATTACACTATTATCGCTTTTTGAATCACGAAGTGTGGACGTGAGGAAACCACCTTAATATCTTTCATTTGATGGAAGAGTAGTGGTGCATGAAATAGTCTATCAATCGGTTTTATTTTTTGCTTTTCAAAAAACACAAATATTAATTTATTTTTTGAAAATGTGAACAATTTATAATTTTTGATTTTTTTAGAACTAAAACATGTTTTCAAGACAAACATTTTTAACACATAATTTTTTAATCAATTATTAATATTTGTTAATTTTTGTGAACAATTTTAAATGTTTTGAAAAGGGACATTTCTGGGGGAATTTTGAGAATTTTTTAAAAGGCGTGAATATATTATAAAAATGTGGATTCTTTGAAAGGGAAAACAAACTGAAACACTCTTTATCTTAAAACACACACACACACACACACACACACCATGTCCGCGGTTAAGAAAAAAAAGATGGTATCTGCACCATGAAGCATCAAGTTGAGAAAGTTCGTAGGGATGTCCTTTGTTGGCGCCTCCTTCAACTTAGCACTATCATTGGGTGGAAGAGGAGTGGTGTATCTGTTTTTAGTGGGATATACAAAGGGTCGAACTCATTTGCATTGATAGTGAGACGTTTGTGGTGACTTTATCAATCTGAAGACCCGTCGGCTGAGTCTCTCTAGGGTGAGTGTGTATGTATGTTTGTGAGTGCCTACGTTTGTACGTGTTTTTCAAAATAAGATTTCCTTTAGCCTTTGTACGCTGCAATTTAATGCGTTGTGCATTGCACCGTAAGAAAAGAAGCATCACATTTTTAGTGACTCATTCATGATGACACTTTTCATGTTCGACGCCGTGGTTGGTGTCCACAATTCAAAAAATTGATGAAGCCGCATTCATGTCTTTGACAGTGTCTCCTTCGTCATTGTACCAGCACCGAACGAAAGAATTGTGGTGCATTGAAGTAGGATTGTTTATATAAAATTTGTTTGTTAATATTCAAAAGCAAACAGGTTCACGAAAAGGAAGTTCCTCGCTCTGCTGACGGCCGAGTCTACGGTCTCCTCCCTCTCCGGCTGC